TTTGTCTTGGATTTGGCCGCGCGGCCACGCCGATGCTGTCGCAGGACCCGTGCGAACCGCTGCGAGCAGATTCTGGACATCAATGCACAGCTGAATCCGTAGGGCGTGGGCACGCTGCCTTGACGCTTGGCGAAGTGAGCGCCCGTGCCTCCAGAGTCCCCATCTCTGTGAGTCCAGGGTGTCTCGGGCTGGAGCCCGCGCGAGGCTTCCAGGCCCATCCCGAGCAATGGATGAATCTTCGGCTTCGTTTGAAAACGCGTATGGACGCGCGTCGCCGAGGGCGGCGCGCGGCAGGCTGAACTTTGTCGTCCTCTCATGCAGAGCGTTTCCCTGCAGGCTGCCACTTTTCGGGCAAGCGCATCGCAGGGAAATATGAAGCATGGCATTCCTCACCGCTGCCTCCACAGTGACACTCCAGTCGCGCAGCTCGTCGGCGGGTGGTTCCCGAACCGCATCATGTGTCTGGTACTCGCACTGTCTTCTTGTGTCTTGATGGCCCTCGTGAACAAGCAGGGCAATCGACCCGCCTCTGGGCTACGCTCGTGCCAAGTATTCGGGTGACCCCGCGAAGCGTCGCGCTGAGCCTCGCGTTCGAAGCCAGATAGTTGTTGGAAGTGTATCAGCATCGAAAAAAGCACGTGTCCCAACTAATCCGTTGCCGCGCCCATCGGTTTGACCAACCAATGTTATTGACATCGTTAGCGGGATTGTGACATCATGTTGCACCAAGTGTTTGATCATCTGCGTTGTCGTGCGCCTGGTGTTCCTACAAGACGCCGCGCTGCAAATCTGTCACGGCAGGATCAGGAGGAGAGGAGAGGACATACGCAGTGGTGGCATGGCAAGAAGGTGGAACTGGGGGCGAAGATATGGAATTGGAGGAGTAGGGGGACCAGTGGAAACCCAAGAGTCGTCATTGATGTTGGGATTTTCCCTCCGTCCAAGCTCCCTTTTCGCAGAGAGCTACACGGGTTCATTTCCTTTGAGGGAACTGCCTCGTTGGAAGACAACACTTTGAAGATCCTGAAGCGTGCCAGAACATTGTTCTCGGGATTCCAACGCCCCGTATCAACCTTTTTTCTGCGTCTTGACGATCCAGAATCGTGCCATATCGTTTTCTGGGGAACTTCGACACAGCGAATCAACATAACTGTTGCGTCCGCATAATCGCAAACCCGTCTAAAACATGTTTTCTGGTACGTTGACTATGGGAACTAGTGAGGCCCTTGCTTTTGTCGTTGTATATATATATATAAAATGTGCGCGGCGGTAAACCGACAACCACATGTTGAAAAGGAACCGCCCTCAATCCGTGAAGCCCTTGCAAATGTTTAAAACTAATGTGCGCGGCACCAAGGCAAAAACCACATTTTGAAGACCACCCGCCCTCAATCCGTGAACCTCTTGCACACGTTTAAAAAGAATGTGCGCGGCGCTAGGCGAGAGCCACATTTTGTAAACCACCCGCCCTCAATCCGTGAAGGGCTTGCATTTGTTTAACGAATGCGCGCGGCGCCTAAGGCGAGACCACATTTTGAACAGGAGCCGCCCTCAATCCGTGAAGCTCTTGCAATGTTTAAAACGAATGCGCGCGGCACTAAGGCGAGAACCACACTTTGAAAACGACCCGACCTCATTCCGTGAAGTTCTCGCAAATGTTTAAACGGAATGTGCGCGGCGCTAAGGCGAGAACCACATTTTGAAAACGACACGCCCTCAACTTGTGAACCTCTTTTCACTTGTTTAAAACGAATTTGCGCGGCACTAAGGCGAGATGCGCATTTTGAAAACGACCCGCCCTCACTATGTGAACCTGTTGGACATGTTTAAATCGAATGAGCGCGGCGCTAAGGCGAGAGCCACAGTTTGAAAACCACCCGCCCTCAATGTGTGAAGCTGCTGTCGCTTTTTAAGCTTCAGAATACTACATGGTGAGGACGTCTCAGGCGAAACGCCTGGCCCGCCCTGAAAACTGGCCTCGGGGTGCGACAGGGAGGATTTTTCCATAAGGAGAAGGAATGGAGGAGCAGGAGGAGGATGAAAATGGGGAGGAGGAGGAGGAGGAGGAGGAGGAGGAGGAGGGGGAGGGGGAGGGGGAGGGGGAGGGGAGGGAGAGGGACGAGAAGAGGAGGGGCCGTGGTTGGGGCTTCCAGCTCCGCTACGGCCAGCTGCAGTGCCGCGTTGCACTTCCAGCAGCACCACGACATGTCGGTTCAATGCGGGAGCCCGAGCAGTTGCTTCCAGCGCGCGCGCGCGCGCGTTTGCGCCAGCGAAGACCTGCGGCCTGAATATGTGCCTGCCTTCTTGGCTCTGTGCAAGTTTGACTTCAACCCATATGTGCCGTCGTTGCGGGCGGTTGAGCATGCGCCGCTGGCCATGAGGCGAAAACCTTGAGCGATCACATGGGACACATCACGCCACGTTTTCGTCCCCGTGGAAGGTTTCATCAATCCAGCGATGGGCGTGCGTAGCTTGTGCGCCCCCACCGCTGTGAGCTTCCTGGGCAAAATCACGCGCGCGAGCTCCACGGTCTGATCGCGGCCCCGCTGGCGAGGGGCGCCGTGGGCCCACGGAGTTGAAAAAACAGTCGAATCAGCTTGCGCTGCCGGGAAGCAGCGTTGCACGTGATCCTCACCTACTGTACCCAAGCCGCCGGCGTCCTCCAATTCCTCGGGCTAACCGTGCTGCGCCAGTAGGGCAACACATTCGCACAGTAAACCAGAATCGGTTCACTCCTGCTCGCGATGTTGCCTCTTGTTCCAGGAGCGGGCTGCCGCGAAATGTTGCCTGCGCAACAGGGTGTCTCGAAGAAATGGCCCCCGCATCCTCCTGGATGCATTGCCGCCTATGTTTGCCCATGCGCCGGTGGCTGGTGCCCTTCTCGCCCGCTCTTCGGTCGTTGGTCTCTTCGCGGAGCGGCGCGGTATCAACGGGATCCCCATGTCCCCCCACTCCGCGAAAACTCCAAGGAGCCCACAAAGTGGTGACAGTTGCGTTCCTCGCAGCCCCCCAGGGCGCCGCGAGGTCCCAGCTAGACCACCGTGCCCCCCCACTCCGCGGGACCTCCCAGGCGCCCACGAAAGTGGCGACAGTTGCGCCCCTCGCAGCTCCCCAGGGAGCAGGGCGCCGCGAGGTCCCAGCTGGACCCCCGTGCCCCCCCCACTCTGCAGGACCCCCAAGGAGCCCACGACAGTGGTGACAGTTGCGCCCCTCGCAGCCCCCCAGGGACGCAGGCAGGACGACGGAGAGAAGGGAGGAGGAATAGAAGGAGGAGACAGGAGGCAGGAAGTAGGAGGCAGGAGTCAGGATGGGGGAGGAGGAGCAGGAGGAGGAGGAGGAGGAGGAGGACGGTTCACGCAGTGCTCGGTTCAAAACGAGATCCCAGCACAGAAGGGTTGGGAGCAACCCAGCTGCGCAGGGAAGAAGGGAGACTCGGGGAGGTGCTCCGTGAGGGCTACTCGGACGCACCGATACCCAGGATGGACGCCCCCCCCCGTGCTGTATATCCCCGGGTGGGGCCCCAAACGTGTGGTCCGGTCCATCCGAAAGCCCCACGAAGTGGGGGATAGGGTCTGTTATGCTGCTGGATATCCCGAGGACTTGACGCGCGTGACCCCCATGCGGCTCGACTGGAGTGACGCGTACGTTCTGGAGGCTTCCACGTGGGACGCCAGCCTGTTTGTGTTCCACCCTTGCGTTGGCCCGCTGGCATCGGCCATCACGATATTCGCCTCGGTTACCAATGTCATTCTGCAGGCCAGGGAGGGAGCTGAATTGTATTTTCTAAGGATGTCGTGGACCGCGTTCGCGTTGCGTTCGTTTCGCACCAGGGGCAGAGAGCGAAGCCAGAACGAGGGACCTCGATGACACAACACGAGCGCTCAGCACACGTTTTCAGCCCGAGCCCTGCCCTCAGGCATGGTTCTGCTGGCTGGTGCTGGCCTACATGTCGGCACCCAGCGTCACCGAGTCGACGCTTGACGGGCTTCTGCGCTTCAGGATCGCCGCGCACAGCGTGGAGTACGCCGACGATCTCACGCAGAGGTCCATGATCAGCCTCATGTGCAACGACGGGGTGCCAGGCAAGCTGACCATGGCGGCGGGCCAGTCGACGTTGCTGAAGTCCCTCACGGACTTTGGGGACGACTGGGGCGGTGGGCGCAGCTTCATGAGCCTGGCGCTGATCCTATGGCTCTGCTTCAACATGGAGGATCGGGCGGGTGGTAACGGGGGGGGACCTCAGTAGGGCGGTGAAGACGAGGGCCGTACAGGGGCCCTCTAGATAGAGCCTCTTTTGGAGCCAGCAGGGGCCCCAACAGGAGCCCTAATTCTTCACCCCTCACGCAGTCGCCCCCCCCATTACCACCCGATCGGGAGGAGCTCAACGCCATCTACCACTTCGCCCGGTCGCTGACACATATCGGGCTGGGCGACAGGACCCGCATCTCCATGACCGCGGGCGCGGACGAGTCGGTCTGCGCGAGCTTGAACGCGGACGCCCGGACGGCCTTCGGTGGCACTGCTGTGGGCGTGTCCTCGGTTACGTGCCGGGTTGTCTGTGTCAGTCCAAGGCGTTTTTGGTTCGGTATGTTGCTCATAGTTTTGCCGCGATTAGTGCTGGTCGTCGTCCAGAGTTGGATGGGGTGTAGCTTTCTCGCCAGCACATCTACGAATCAAGACCTCGTGTTGAACGCTATGGCGCTTGCCTTCATCGCCGATATTGACAAGGTGATGTACGATGTCTTTGTCCCTCGGCGGATCAAGACACTTCTGGCCAACTTAGAGCCACTCCCGTTGGCTCACATGAAACCGAGCAAACATAGCGCCGGCTTTGTCGCAGTTGGCAAGGCAGCCGGAGTTGCGGGAGCGCTCTGTTTGCTTTATTTTGTCAAACTCGAATCGTTCTGGTGGAGGCTGGACACGGCCAAGAAGGTTCTGTGCAGTGGGAACCAAGATTTCGTTTGGGCCATAAACCAAGCTTCAGGCATGGTTCATGTGACAAGGAGCAACGACGACCTGGTCACCGCGTGGGCCTATCACGAGCAGGCGATCTTTCAGGTTGTGGCACCAGAGATCGGAAACGAGTTTTGGAACATAGACGATGACCTCGTGCGCCTCGCAAACGCGGGGGAGGCGCAGGCAGTCTGGGAGCCGAGAGCGCGCACTTACAGCGAGGCGGTGTTCGATACTGCATATGTGAACTACCTGAGCGCCATCCACGACTTCACTGTGTCCGACGCTGGCGCCATATTGGATTGTAACGATTTGAGTTCCGGGCAGACCGTACAATTGAACGCAAATGAGTCCGTCGACGTTTCTTTGATATCCAGCTGCCTGCGGCAATCCCCGTCGTGCCAGCACATCAAGTTTGAATTTCAGACCCGCTGTGGTTCAGCGCTCTGCCTGCACTGGCGCGGATCTTGAGCGTTCCCTCTCCTCGGGCCGAACGAAAGGGGGATCTAGGGAAAGGGGGGGTTACGAAATCTGCTGCATGCAGATGGTTTCGGCCCCGCCGCCGGGCCCATTCCTCGATACATGGCCGCCTCCGGCGCCGGGAGGCGCCAGGAAAATCAGCTACGCGAGCTGATTCTCACCCCCCCCCCTTTGCTATCCCCCCCTTTCGCCCGGCCCGATCTTCGTTGGCAGCTTCGCTTTTCTCTTCCTTTCTCCTCCCTCCTGATCGCTCCTTGTCTTTCTCTTTTCCTCCCTCCACCATCTTGATGGTACATCGGAGGCTTCTTTGGGGCCTGTCTGAGCCCTCTTAGCGGCCTCTTGGAGGCCTCTTCGGGTCGTGTTGGGGCACGGTCAGGTGTCTCGGGCCGTCCGAGCCCTCCCAGGAGGCGCGGTCGGACCACCTTGGGAACGTCTGATCGGGTCTTGGGGCTGTCTCGGGGCTGCCTTGAAGCCGTCCTGGGCCGTTTGAAAGGTTTCTCGGGCAGTCTTGGGGCGGCTATCTTTGTGCAGTTGTCATGGGCTGGCTTGGGGTTTACTTGGGGCGTTCTGAAGCTTGCGCGAAGCTTGCAACCCACAAAACACCCAAATGAACGTTGCTTCCCGGAGCTTCGCTGGAGGCTTGTCGCTCGAGCTTGCCACTTTCACATCGGATCTCTCCTTGTGCTTCTCCTCTTCCTCCTCCTCTCTCTTGGTACTGTGAGTGTCCGTTTCCACACGCCTGGTGAGAAACACATTGTTTGTAAGGGCAACCGCTTTTTTGTTTAGCGTGGCAACTCTTGTCTCATCAAGATGTATGTTAGCACAGCTTATGGTGTGGCCGGCATTCTCGTTACGACGATGGTTGTTGAGCCATGGTGTTCGCTCCAGCCTCGCTGGAGGCCTCTTCGGGCGCCTCTTGCACCGTGGACGTCTGTCGGGGAGGGTCTTGGGGTGGTGGGTCGGTCGCTGGATGTTCTGGAGTCACCGGGAGCCAGGAGTCCGACCAGAGCGCCGGGACGCGAAGGCAGGGGGGGGGGGGGAAAGGGGGGATTTTTCGAGCGCTGTCGCTGCGAGGGATGCGGGGCAGCCCCACAGGCATTCCAGAAGCCTTCTAGACAGCAGACCAGCACTCTGACACGGCCCCATGTCTTCCGCGGTGGCGGATATCTGCGTGAGCTCTTGGGAGACAACAGCATCCAGACGTGTTGGGACGTCGGCTGGCAAGCTTGTGCAACGTTCGGATCCGATAAGATTCGTAGCATCTGTCCGCACCGTTGTGGGTGCGACATGCCTCCTCGCTATTTTCCTGCAGCTGCTGGATTTTACCAGGGACCCGCGGCGGGCTGCCCCAGTCAGTGCAAGTTCATGGCGGCAGCCCTAAACGAACTCCTGTACAGTTTGGTGAACTACAACCACAGCGAGGTGAGTGACCCTACCACCAGTACTGGGCATTTCGCTTGTACTGATATCGATGAGGGCGACTTCACCTACCGCGGAATATGTTCCGATGCTGACCAGAACATTAATTCGACGAGCAGCATCGGCAAGTCGTGCAGCACCGCGGCTTGCACATCAGATTATGACGATACTGATTTCTCTGCAAACGACATGTGTTGCAAGTGTGGTGGCGGGCGCTACAGTTCTGTTGATTCTGTTTTTTGTGTGGAACAGCTCGTGGACCAGTGCATGCATGAAATGCCCATTCCCGCTTTCTTTTACACTGTGTACGTCAGGGGCATGATTGAGCACCTGTTTCAAAAGGCAGAGTATCGCCTCAATGTCGCAAGAGTAGTGCGAACTGGCTTCAGTCATATGCTGCACATTGCGGACTCACAGGTCGAAGCATTCGTTGAATGGATGTTGGACGGCAACTTAACGTTCTCTCTAACAGACGGCAATTGGAATTTGATGCCAGGTGTGCCCCATCCCCGTCGGCTCAAGGGGTGTGAATATCCAGCGGCCTGCGGCCAAACCCGCCTTCGTGTCAAGGCAGCATTGATGCGCAGTCAGGGTGATTCTACGAATCTTCCCTGAACAGGTTCGGTCTAACCATATGTATTGGCCCCGTTTGAGGCGCTTCGCCACACAGTTCTGCCATGGCGCGACCGTAACGTTGCATGGTTGTTACGTTGCCCCTTTCGGGCCGTCGAGGGGCCATCTTGGAGCCACATTGTGCGCAGGTTGAATGCTTGGTGTGGGCAAATTGAAGGCCGATTTGGATATTTGTCCCAACCGTCCTGTTGGTCTGGGTCTTTGTTTTGAAGAGACAGCGCCCCACGTCACCTCACTCACTCCCGCTGCCCCGTCCCCCTTTTGCTTCCTCCTCCGAACCTTGCCTCGCTGCCTTCCGAACCAGTCAGCCATTTTCTCACACCGCTCACACGTTTCGTGGCCCCATAGAGAGCCCCACCGAAGGCCCAAATGCGACCGTTCGCATGTGCCCACCGCACCCGCTCCGACACGCCATTCGTACGCTTCAGGGCCCTTTAGGGAGCCCCACCGATGGCCCAATTGCCAGCGTTCGCATGCGCCCACCGTACCCATTTCGGCACACCCCTTCACACGCTTCGTGGCACCATGGGAAACCCCACCGACCGCGCAAATGCCAGCGTTCGCATGCGCCCACCGCGCCCATTTTGGCACACCCCTCACGCGCTTCGTGGCCCCATAAGGTGGTCCCACCTAAGGCCCAAACGCAAGCGTTCGCATGCGCCCACCGCCTTCATGTTGGCACACCCTTCACACCTTTCGCGGCCCCGTAGGGACCCCCACCGAAAGCCCAAATGCAAGCGCTCGCATGCGCCCACCGCATCCACTTTGGCACAACATTCACGCGCTCCGTGGCCCCATGAGGCGCCCCACCGAAACGCCCAAACGTCAGCGTTCGCGTGCGCCCGCCGCGCCCATTTTGGCTCACCCCTCACACGTTTCATGGCCCCACAGGGAGCGCCACCGAAGGCCCACATGCCAGCGGTCGCATGTGCCCCCGCCCATGTTTGGCACACCCCGCACACGCTCCGTGGCCCTACATGGGGGTCCCAACACAAGCCCACATGCGACCCTTCGTATGCGCCCACCGCGCCCAGTTTGACGCACCCCTCACACGCTTCGTGGCCCCACAGGGAGCCCCACCGAAGCCCCAAATGCCAACGTTCGCACGCGCGCACTGCGCCCATTCTTACACGCCCTTCACACGCTTCGCGGACTCATACTGGACCCCACCGAATGAGGTGCACAAGAGGCTGTACCCACAAGTGTCTAGGATTTGGTTCTTCGCCATGCTAACTATTCGTGTCATGCTCCCGCCTCCCCACTCCCACACCGTTCCGCGTTATTATTCCCACCGTGGCGGTTCACACAAGAATTCGTGCTCATTCATATTCGGGCGTTTCACTAAGACTCAGTATGCCTCCTCCCCCTGCCCTCCCATACCCAGGCTCAATCATTATCAGACCACCCATGCTTAACTACGTACTCATAACCCCAGGAGGTATTTAGTTTTGGTCGCCCTCCTGTTTCTCTCGGCGGGGCATACAACTCGGACCTTCTCCTCCTTATCCCCCTCTTCCTCCTCATCGGCCCCTCCTACTCCTGCTCCTCCTGCTCCTCTCCTCTTCCTCCTCTCTTCCTCGTCGTTGTCGCTGCGGAGAGCATTATCCATTTCTTGATTGGCGGGCTGGATACTGTTGGGTGTATGTTGGTTCAAAGGGAGAAGTTATTGTGGGCTACGTTACGCGAAAGAGGATGGGTGAGCATCTTCCCACGAGGATGACAATAGGAATCAGCGGTTGCGGTTACAGTCGTGATTGTGCTCGCGGTTTTTACCGTGATTGGAATCGTGATTGGAATTGTCAGTGTAGTCGCACTCGTAGTAGTAGTGTTAGTAGTAGTAGTAGTAGTAGTAGTAGTAGTAGTAGTAGTAGTAGTAGTAGTAGTAGTAGTAGTAGTAGTAGTAGTAGTAGTAGTAGAAGTAGAAGTAGAAGTAGTAGTAGTAGTAGAAATAGTAGTCGTAGTAGTAGTAGTAGTAGTAGTAGTAGTAGTAGTAGTAGTAGTAGTAGTAGTAGTAGTAGTAGTAGTAGTAGTAGTAGTAGTAGTAGTAGTAGTAGTAGTAGTAGTAGTAGTAGTCGTCGTCGTCGTCGTCGTCGTCGTCGTCGTCGTCGTCGTCGTCGTCGTCGTCGTCGTCGTCGTCGTCGTCGTCGTCGTCGTCGTCGTCGCGGTTCAGATTATGTTACCAGTAATGTTCGCCACGGTGTGTAAGGTTGGGTTTTTTTTAATTCCGGCGAGTGGTGTTAATGGGGCTGCTTTGCAAGACAGAGAAGTTTTGAGCACGTTGGTAAAAAGGATAGCAATACAGATCGACACGCTCTTCGCCGAAAGCCTTGCTCACAATCCACGTCTTGTAGTCTTAGCCGTAGCCGCAGTCGCATCGCGGTCGTAGTCGTAATCGTAGTCGTCGTCGTCGTCGTCGTCGTTGAGTCGCGGTTAGTGCCGTGGAGACACACTTGCCAACCATCCTGTGGTACTTATTGGGTCCTCGTTTTGAAGAGACGTCGCCCCGCGTTCCTTCTCCTCCTCTCCTCTCCTCCTCCCCCTCCTCCCCCCTCCTTCCTGCGTTTCACCCACCCAGTACAGCGTTTCGTGGCCCCATAGGGAGCTCCACCGAAGGCTCCAGTGGCTGCGTTCGCATGGTGGCCTCGGGCCATTTCGGCACACCCCTCACGAGGATCGTGGCCCCATAGGGAGCTCCACCGAAGGCCCCAGTGGCAGCGTTCACATGGCGGCCCTGCCCCATTTCGGCGCACCCCTCACGAGGATCATGGCCCCATAGGGTGCTCCACCCCCCTCACGAGGATCGTGGCCCCATAGGAGCTCCAGCGAAGGCCCCAGTTGCAGCGTTCGCATGGTGGCCCGGCCCCATTTTGGCGCACCCCTCGCGAGGATCGTGGCCCCATAGGGAGCTCCACCGAAGGCCCCAGTGGCAGCGTTCGCATGGCGGCCCCTCCCAATTTCGGCGCACCCCTCACGAGGATCATGGCCCCATAGGGAGCTCCAACGAAGGCCCCAGTGGCAGCGTTCGCATGGTGGCCCCGCACCATTTTGGCGCACCCCTCACGAGGATCGTGGCCCCATAGGGAGCTCCACCGAAGGCCCCAGTGGCAGCGTTCGCATGGTGGCCCCGCCCCATTTCGGCGCACCCCTCACGAGGATCGTGGCCCCATAGGGAGCTCCACCGAAGGCCCCAGTGGCAGCGTTCGCATGGCGGCCCCGCCCCATTTCGGCGCACCCCTCACGAGGATCGTGGCCCCATAGGGAGCTCCACCGAAGGCCCCAGTGGCAGCGTTCGCATGGTGGCCCCGCACCATTTTGGCGCACCCCTCACGAGGATCGTGGCCCCATAGGGAGCTCCACCGAAGGCCCCAGTGGCAGCGTTCGCATGGTGGCCCCGCCCCATTTGGGCGCACCCCTCACGAGGATCGTGGCCCCATAGGGTGCTCCACCGAAGGCCCCAGTTGCAGCGTTCGCATGGTGGCCCGGCCCCATTTTGGCGCACCCCTCGCGAGGATCGTGGCCCCATAGGGAGCTCCACCGAAGGCCCCAGTGGCAGCGTTCGCATGGCGGCCCCTCCCAATTTCGGCGCACCCCTCACGAGGATCGTGGCCCCATAGGGAGCTCCACCGAAGGCCCCAGTGGCAGCGTTCGCATGGTGGCCCCGCCCCATTTTGGCGCACCCCTCACGAGGATCGTGGCCCCATAGGGTGCTCCACCCCCCTCACGAGGATCGTGGCCCCATAGGAGCTCCACCGAAGGCCCCAGTGGCAGCGTTCGCATGGCGGCCCTGCCCCATTGCGGCACACCCCTCACACGGTTCGCAGCCCCACAGGGAGCTCCACCGAAGGCGCCAGTGGCAGCGTTCGCATAGCGGCCCCGGGCCATTTCGGCATACCCCTCACGAGGATCGTGGCCCCGTAGGGAGCTCCACCGAAGGCGCGAGTGGCAGCGTTCGCATGGCGGCCTCGGACCATTTCGGCACACCCCTCACGAGGATCGTGGCCCCATAGGGAGCTCCACCGAAGGCTCCAGTGGCAGCGTTCGCATGGCGACCCCGCCCCATTTTGGCGCACACCTCACGAGGATCGTGGCCCCATAGGGAGCTCCACCGAAGGCCCCCCCTCACGAGGATTGTGGCCCCATAAGGGAGCTCCACCGAAGGCACCAGTGGCAGCGTTCGCATGGCGGCCTCGGGCCATTTCGGCACACCCCTCACGAGGATCGTGGCCCCATAGAGAATTCCTCTTGCTTCGTCCCACCTGCCCTGCGGTATTCACGTTTGCATATGGTTGGGTCCTTCGCCAGGATAATTTGTCCTCATTTTGGTGGGACCTCGGTCCGTCAATAAGGACCGCCGAAAGTAGAGAAGTTTCAATGTAATGGGGGTTCAAAATTATCTAGGTTACCCACTCAGACTCAGACTTGCCCCGACCCATTCTCACTCAGACCAATCGCAATCAGATTCGTTTACATATAGACTCGTTTGTTATGCAGGCTCATCCGTGGCCAGACTATTCACGCACAGGCTCAACCGCACCCAGTTTCACTCACGTCCTGACTCACGTACATCCTGGACTCACTTACACAAACATGGTCATATCCATCAGACATGGCATGTGAGCCAAGGGGATGTCAACCAGGGCTTGTCCACGGATTTGTTCGTGCCCAGTTGTTTGGTATGTCTCGGGCAAGTCGCCATTTTTAGACAGTAGACGTGTGTCTTTTCAGAGACTCCATGATCGCTGCAATGCACCAGGCAGGGCATTTGGGCAAGCGCTTCGGCCACCCACGGGATTTGTTTCATGGACCCGTTCACCCGTTCTCGCCGCTGCGCCACTCTCTGGATGAACCATCTTTGCAAAGGACCCAACTCTATGCAGTTGTGAGGAGCGCAATTGTGAGTATCGTGTTCGGTGGAGCTCCTTACGGGGACATGGAACGTGCTCGCGGTGAACCAAAATTGGTGGGGCGGACGCATGCGAACACCGCCAATGAAACTTTCGGTGGCGCCCCGTATGGGCTCAACAAATTGTGTGACAGGTGTGTTGGCATAAGGCGCAATGGGCGAAGGCGAACGCTTGGATTTGGGCCTTCGGTGGAGCTCCCTGTGGGGCCACGACACGTGTGAGGGATGTGCCAAAATTTGCGCGGTGGGCGCATGCGAGCGCAGCCAATGGGGCCCTCAGTGGGGTTCCTTTGGGGTCACGAAACGTGTGCGAGGTTTGCCCTCATGGGTGCGGTGGGCGCATGAGACCGCAGCCGTTGTTGGAGCTCTCTATGGGGCCACGAAGCGTGTGAGGGGTATGCCGAAATCAATGCGGCGGGCGCATTCGACCGCAGCCACGGGGGCCTTCGGTGGAGCTCCCCTTATGGGGCCACGAAACGTGTGAGGGGTATACCGAAATCGGTGCGGTGGGTGCATGCGACTGCAGCCATTGGGGCCTTCGATAGAGCTCCATATGGAGCCACGACACGTGTGCGGGGTGTGCCGGCATGGGCGCGGTGGGCGCGTGCGAACGAAGCCAGTGGGGCCTTTGGTGGGGCTCCTTCTTGGGCCACGGAGCGTGTTGTGTGAGGGGTGTGCGGACATCCGCTCGGTGGGCGCATGCGAACGTAGCTTTTGGGGCCTTCGGTGGAGCTCCCTATGGGGCCACGGAGCATGTGAGGGGTGTGTCGAGATGGGCACGGTGGGCGCATGCGAACGCGGCCATCGGGGCCTGCTGTTGAGCTCCCCATGTGACCACGAACTCTATGAGGGACGTGTCGACATGGGATGTAGGACAGGGGGAGGAGCCGGAGGGGACAGCGGGAAGGAAGGATCGTGGGGCGCTGTCTCCTCAAAATGAGGACCCAACACCACAGGATGGGAGCACACATCTGGACGCGAACGGGCCCGTGGAGCATTCCTGGTCGACGCCCCCCTGTGGTGCCCAAGTGCTTCGCCTTCTGCATCGCGATGGGCATGGCCTCGGAGAGGAACACTGGCCCACGGTGCACGCCTGGACGCGGATGTGCCCGAGGAGCACCCTCGGCCGACTCCCTAATGGGGTGCCGAGGTGGTGCGTCTTCTGCGCCGCGATGATCATGGGGCTCTGAAGGGGGAGGAGCCTGGGGTGCCAAACCAGGCGCTCGACTCGAGGATTCGCACGCAAGTGGGCACGAACGTCTCCGTCGAACACACGTGGCCGACTCCCCCTTGGGGTGCCCAAATGCGTTGCTTGATGATGCCTGTGAGATTGTGATGGCCATGGGACCCTGAAAGGCAAGTATCGAAGACGCCTACGGCGAATCACCGCCGCCCCCTGCCTTTTTGGAAACGCCGATGTGGCCGAAAGTTGGACTAGGGCTTGGCCAAGCTATCGGACCATGAGTTCCCCGAGTCGGTTTGGAAAGCTTTCGGGGAACACATGGGAGAGAATGATTATGAACAGGAAGAGGAAGAGGAAGAAATAGAGTAGGAGGATGAGGGTTGTTAGGAGTCTCTTGGGGCACCCTTGGGGTCTGTTGGGGGCTTCTTGGGGGCCTCTTCGAGGCCTCTTGGAGGCATCTTGGGGGCCTCCTTGGGCCTCTTGGGGGCCTTTGGGGGCTTCCTGGGGGTCTCTTTGGCCGTCTTAGGGCGTTCCTGGTCCGTCTGACGCCGTCTGGAGCCGTCTTGGGGGCCTCTCTGGGCCGTCTTGGGGCCCTCTTGGGGCGCTTCAGGGCCGTCTTGGAGGCCATGTTGGGCGTCTTGGAGGCCTCTTGGGCCGTCTTGGGGCGCTCTTGGGGCCGTCTTGGGGGGCCCTTGGGCCGTCATAGGGCCTTCTTGGAGGCCTCTTGGGCGATCTTGGGGGCCTCTTGGGCCGTCGGAAGGCCGAAAAGAAGAAAACGCAAAAAACCTTCAAAAACCTAAGGAAAACCAATGATTTTGGCCTCTTCGGGCTCTCCTGGAGAACGTCTTGGAGGCCTCTTGGGCCATCTTGGAGGCATCTTGGGGCCATCTTGGCCGTCTTGGAGGGCATCTTGGGCCGTCTTGGAGGCATCTTGGAGCCATCTTACCCGTCTTGGAGGCCATCTTGGCCGTCTGGGAGGCATCTTGGAGGCCATCTTGGGCCATCTTGGCCGTCTTGGAGGCCATCTTGGGCCAAGTTGGGGCAACAAAGGCATTGACAGACGGATTTTGGGAAAATTACGGGTGGCCGGCGGGACGGGCCGAAGCCCACTGGGGAGTTCTTTTAGAAAAAGAACCAAAACCAAAACCTGAAACATCCAGCACGCCGTGCACCCCTGCAAGCAGGGGGCGGCGGATCTAATGGCCTTTGGCCCATCCCGCCACCGTGCCTGGGTTGTAGGTATGAAGCCTATCGGATGTTCGTTGGGATCTGGTTGGAGGCCTCTCGGAGGCGTCCTGGAGGCAATTTGGACGCCTCTTGGGGACCGCTTTGGGGCCTCTTGGGGCCTTTGGGTTGCTCTCTGGGGGCCTTTTGGGGGGCCTCTTGGGAGCCTCGTCTGGCCCTCCTGGGGGCCTCCTTGGGGCGGCAGGCTCGTTGGGCCCCTCTTTGGGGAGCCGCCCCTCTTGGGCCGTCTTGGGGCGCCTCTTGGGGCCGTTTTGGGGCCCTCTTGGAGGCCCCTTGCTAGGGCTCGTTTCGATTCCCCCGGCTCGAGTCGATTCGATTTCGATGGCTTCCGATTCCGATCCGATTCGATTTCGGAATCCGATTTGGGCTCCGGTTTCTCAACGGAGGCCTACTAGCCTGCCGACCGAGTCGACTTCTCCCGACTCGGCTGCCGATGTCCGTCGATCCGATTCGTTTCGATTGCAGATCCGACTTATCGATTTGGTTCTGGGCTCTCTCCTGCCTTGGGCTGTTTTCGGGCGGTCTTGGGGGCCTCTAGAGGCGTTTGGAGGCGTCGGGGACCGAGAGGCGAGAAAGCCCAGAACCATCAAATACCTAAGGCAAATTCATGATTTTGGCATCTCGGTGCTGGGATGCCTCTTGGATGCCTAGGGGCGTCGTGGCGGCCCCTTGGGCCGTCTTGGGGCCATCTTGGACGTCTTGGAACGATTATCGGGCGTCTCGGGGCCCCCTTGGATCGTCTTGAGGGTCTCTTGTGGGCCCTCTTGGCCCACCCGGGGGCCCTCCTGGGCTTGAACAAATCACGCGATAAGTTGCGGAGAGCTCCAGGGGAACCGCGCCAAGCCCCGGAAGATTTGAGACGTTGGGCGCTGGGCCCCTTTGGAAAACCCATCAGGACCGAGGACTGAGGCTCCAGGGATTAGGCAGAGGACCTGAGGACAACTCCGTGCCCCGAGGCACGGTGGCGCATGGGGTGCCGAGGCAGGCGGTCTACATGAGAGTGAGAACAACGTGTGGACGCGAACGGGCCCTTCAGAGCACTTTTGGACGACGCCCCCGCCTGGTGCCCGATGGCTATGCCTGCCGCCTGCTGCACCGCGATGGCCACTGGGCTCTGAGTGTGGGCGAGTTGTTGTGCTGACTACACAAAATGAATGAGTCTGAGGATTCCTCCTCCTCCTCCTCCTCCTCCTCCTCCTCCTCCTCCTGGTGATGGCCGAGTCTCGGTGTGAAAAGTCTGAGTCTGGGTGGTGTGTATTTCTTTGGTCTCATTGCGCCCCTGCCGAGTGTGAGTGGATCTGAGCGTGAGCATTCTGAGTACCAGTGGCTTTGAGAATGCGTGAGGCTGCAGGTGCCTAAGTTTTTTTTTGTTTTTTGTGTGTGTGTGTGTGGGCCTGTGTGTGACTTAGCTGCGTCTGAGTGAATCTGAGCGTGAGTAGTCTGAGCAAGAGTGAGGAGAGAGGCGGGTGTTGAGGAGGCGGAGGGGTGACGATAATTCCAAGGGCCTCGTACATGAGTTGGGGAAGTGCAGACATCTCGTTACGCAGCCGCTAACATGCATGATCAACAACGGGCCCCAATGTGCTAAGGGCACGATGGTGGATTTAGCTTCATTTGAACTCACATACCTACTGGGCTTCGACATCTGCGACGAATCAAAGTATGGCTCACTGAAGATGTTCTGCCCGGAAACGTGCGGCTGTAGACACGCACAATACAAAGTCAAGAGAGGAGAAGGCGAAGTAGATACATTCTGGAATACGGAGGAGGAGTACTCGACTCATACCTACGACAGGGATGTTTTACACAACTGCCCCGCGGCTTGTGTCCTCGCGCATCCGCGGATCTCAGGCTCTGGCGTGTACGGCGACTACTCGTTCCTCAATTCTTAGCCCGGTCGATTGGCACTTTCCTTTGCCCAGCGTCGAGCTCAAATTCCATCTTTCCCTCCCCTCCCGCCGCGACAAGCTTCGAGGCGGGCATTTTTATGTATAATTGTCGCCTGGGGATCGATCTCTGGGGACTTCGGCAGGCGGTGGATGTGATCACAAGGGTTCACAGACACCCCCCATATGGGATGGGTCTCAGGGTCCGACTGTCGACTACACGTAACAGTGACCCTTCGCCAGAGCGACCTTTGGTGCAGGCCCACTGGGGTCCCCCGATCGCTTAACGCGAGGCAGCATCGGCGTCTTCCCGACGCCGACGCCGCCGCCGCCGACGACGACGATGACGCCGATGACGACGACGACGACGACGACGACGACGACGACGAACCACCCAACACCCACAGAGGGAGGGGTGAGGGGGTGCACCAGCAACCTCCACCACGCCACACCCACAGTGTCACGACCACAGGGCGGGGGAAGCGATTCCATTCGCGAGGCCTTCACGAGGCACACGGGCGTACCCGTCGGTCGTTGAAAGTAGGTACTTCTGGATTGCCAAATCCCAGCCGACTGTAGGCGCCTTCCTACTTCAATCCTCGAGTGCTTTTTCCTTCTCCTTTGACGTCAGGGGGCAGGCGGAAGCCCAATCCCCTTCCAACGACCTCCTACTCCATGTTTCCACCCATTTCTTCCGACCGATGGGTACCCATCCAGCGGGGGGGGGCCTCGATCTCAAGACCCCCGATGTCATGATTGTTCCATAACGTCGACTCTCAGAGGTCTCGACCTATTGCCCTGGACCGGTTTTTCGTCCGAGTTGTTTTTTGACGTCCCGAGGGCCGTTGAGGGCTACCAGAGGCCAAAAAATTGGGAAAACCTCCCGTCCTGTTTTTTCATTGCCCGAGAGGGTCCATGCCAAGAAACACCCTGCTTGCCTCCAGGGTGCCCTGGGTTTCTTGGGTTTCGATGGTCTTGCGATGGAAGGCGTGACGTTCCCACGCCAAACATCGATGGACGCCCTGGGGTCTCAGGGTTGGGTTTCTTGTGGAGGGTTTCTCGTGGTCGGGCCCCTGCTGTACCCGAGGGGGTCTGGGTCCCATGTGCATCGGGGCTCCGGCTCTTTTCGGGGGAGCGTAAGACCCGGGTTTGCCGGGACTCGGGTTCGCCATCGTTTTTTGACGACCGCGACTTGGATTTTGACGAGGAGGAGTTTTGTGGGATGTCTGCAGCGGGAGGCCTCGTCAAAATGCAGGCTCGGCCTCGTCGTTTTTTTGACGACCTCGTCGGGGATTTCCGAGTCCCCCGTACCGGGTCTTACGTCTCCCCGATCTTTTGTCGACTGCACGTGAGAGTGACCCTTCGCCAGAGTGACCTTTCGTGCGCGCCACCTGGGGGTCCCCGATCGCCGAGCGCGATGCGACAGCAGCGGCTTGCGCGCTCGTGTCTGGTCCCGCGGCCCCCGAAAAGCCGCGCACCAAAGATCATGTTTCACCCACCCCCACTGAGAGGAGGAGGAGGAGGAGGAGGAGGAGGAGGAGGAGGAGGAGAACGAGGAGGAGGAGGAGGAGGAGGAGGGAGGGAGGAGGGACGAGGAGGAGGGGGAGGAGGAGGGAGGAGGAGGAGGAGGAGGAGGGGAGGAGGAGGAGGAGGAGGAGGAGGAGGAGGAGGAGGAGGAGGAGGAGGAGGAGGAGCAGGGTCACTCCTGCGTGTAGTGGATTTGGCTGCAGCCTCCCGGGCCTCCGGAGACGGGCGCCTCGCCTCTGTCGGCGGCGGGGCTCGCGCCTCCGGGCGCTCTCTCGCTGTAGCGAGGGCCTCTCTGCCTGCTGGCGCGTGCTGCTGCCTGGCTCGGGCGGTGTGCTGTCGGCACGCCACCCGAGCCAGACACGCCGCTCATCGGTGTCGTCTAACCGATCCCTGTCCCCATCCCCGTCCACATCTCCTCTCCTCCCCCCTCCTCTCTCTCCCCCCCCTCCTCCTCCTCCTCCCCTCCTCCTCACCTCCTCCTCCTCCTCCTCCTCCTCTTCCTCCTCCTCCTCCTCCTCCTCCTCCTCCTCCTCCTCCTCTTCCTCCTCTTCCTCTTGCTCGTCCTCCTCCTCCTCCTCGGGGTTTCGGGGGCCACGTGCTGAGACAGGTGGGGCGCTCAGTCAACCCGCACAGTAAGGATGGGCCTTAGGTGGACCCCCCCGATCGGGCCACGGACCGTGTGAGGGGCGTCGGGTCAGTATCGTTTAACCGATCCCTATCCCCATCCCTATCCTCATCTCGAGCCCCACCGTCTCACCACCTCAGTTGGCGATGTGCCCCTCGAAACCCGAAGAGAGCAGCCTATATCCCTGTCAGGGCGGTAAATCGGCCAATGGGGCCCAGCCCACGCTGGTGGGGATGGGGATCGGTAAAACGATGCTCAACTCAGTCTGAGTGGCGTGCTTCTTCGCGACAGCGCGCTGCTCGTCGTGAAGGAAACGGGTCCTGGGGGACACTCTGAGGAGAGTGGCGGTACCAGTCCCTCTTGATTTCCCCAGATTTGCTCGTCGTGGAGGAAGTGGGTCCCGAGGGGAACATGTCCAGAAGTCGTTCGCCGTCTCCGGGGGCGCGGGGCAGAACATGGTCCGGGGTGAAGAGGTCGGTCCTGGGGGAAGGCCCCAGGCCCCAGGGGCCAGGACCCTCACCAGCCTCGATTTTGTCCCTGTCCCTGAGATTGACACGCCAAAAGGCGATGACAATCTTAGGGATGCACCCTCAGAAACGGAGGGAATCCCTAAGATCGCCATCGTGATGAGGCGATGCCGAGCATAGGGATAGGGATATGTTCCAGGCTAGCCAGAGCCGTTTCCCTTAGGACGGTTTCTTTGCATACCAGCCATGCCAGGTTCACCAAGGGGATACGGTGCCCCAGCTTCTGTGCGAGTTTCCAGTCTGTCATTGGCGGCCGAGTCTCAGCATTTTGCTCGCAACATCCCGATCGAGCCGGGGTGTACAGCCGCTGGAGCTCGCGAGTGTGAGGGCTCATCACGTTATCGCCAGGAGCCTTACGAATGCTATCGATCCCATCAGCACGGACCCAGGTCTAGTGTTTCGGATTGGACATGCCTTCACCGTGGCCGAGTCGGAGAGCTTCGCGAAACTACAGGTCGTAGTTGGAGGGACTGTGTGCAGCCAAAGGCTGGTCGTGTCATTTGAATTGTCTATCGGCTGCACTTTCACAGTCAGTAATTAGTCTTCCCCTCAGGCGGAGCTGTGAAGTCTTTAAGGCTTGCGCCTAGAAACCAATTGGTGGGCTTCTGAAACCAAGCACATCCATCTGCTCACCCATCGTCCATAATTTTCGGGAGCTTCCTGGGGGCCTTCTGGGGCCTCTTGGGGCTTCCTAGCGGCCTGTTGGGGCTTCTTGGGGGGCTTGTTGCGGGTCTTGGGAGCCTCTTTTGGAACCTCTTGGGGCCTCTTGGGGGGTTTCTCAGGGGCCTCTGGGGCTTTCTGGGCGCCTCTTGGGGCCGAGAGCTCGGCATGTCTGTTCGGCCATCTGGGCTCCTTCTTGGGGCATCCTCTTGGGCCGTCTTAGGGCCATCTTTGGCCGTTCGGGGGCCCTCTTGGAGGCTTTTAATGCAGTTTTGGAACGAATTCATGGCCACTTGTGCCGTCCAGGGCGGTCGGCAGCTCGAGAAAGGCGGTACCGCCAAAACCGTCCGAAAAGCCAAGCAGAATCATTGATTCGTCTTCAGGGCCTCTCGAAGTCGAAGTCCTGCTGGATCCCTCCTGGAGCGTCTTGGGCGCGCCTTGGGCCGTCTTGGGAGCAGCGTTGGCCACCTTGGAGCGCTGTTGGCCTGAGGCCGTGGCGCGTGCCACCCTTTTGGCGCCTCATTGGGGCGCCCGGGGGGGCCCGAGGCCGCGCCCAGGAGATCCTGCATCTCTGGCTCGACCTTGCCGGCACCTTTGCTGCAGCATATACTTGCCGCCCGCGGACCCCCAGGGGCTGCCGCGCGCCCGCGAGTTTGAACCATGATTAGACTCATGCCGGAGATGTTGGCACGCCCTCGGCCCGTTGGGCCGGCGAATGTTGTCGCCATCTCGTGGTTGTCGGGGCTCATCGTGGCTCTCTTGGGCTGCCTTTCGCCGTCACGGGGCTATCTTGGGGGCTGTCTTAGTGCACTCTTGGGGCACCTCTGGGCCGTCTTCAGACGACCTTGAGGTATGCAGAGGCTTCGAGGCACCTTCGTCCACCTTGGAGCCATATTGGGTCCACCTCGGAGCCACATTGACCGCCTTGGAAGCGTTTTGGGTACCAGGCCCGTCTTGGGCATTTTGGATGGGATCTGGCTCCGTCTTCGAGATCATGTTGAACCAGCTGGGCCGTCTTACAGGACTCCCTGGAGGCTTCCTGTTTTGTGCTGGAGGGCGTGCCGGCCCGGAAGGTCCGACGGAAGGATTTATGTGGTCTCGACGAGGAGGACGGACGAGAACGAGGAGGGCTAGGAAGAGGAGATCGAAGGAGGATGCGGAGGGAGGAATGAGTAGAGGAGGAGGATCCGTTCGAGGAAGGGGCGGACCAGGTGGGGATGGAGGTGGAAGGGGAGGAGTGAGGACGAAGAGGAAGAGGGGTCGGATGATGGCAGGAAGGCGTCGGATGATGGCAGTGGGGAGCAAGGAACGGGAGGAAGAGACGGAGGAGGAGGAGGAGGAGGAGGAGGAGGAGGAGGAGGAGAAGCGAGGTTGATTATGATGGGAAGCAGGAGCTGCGTGTTTCAGCCGAAGTTCTGTTTAAAGAGATGCGCCCGCAGTTCTGCGCCGACTCCTTCATCGACAAGACTGCCGAGGAGCCATCCATTGCGTCAGCTTCCCTCTCGCAGGCGTACCTGGTCGGGCATACGCGTACGCGCACGTCTCTTTCGATGCACGCGGGTACGTGACGAGATCGCACGAAAGGGCATACGGTCACAGTGGATTTGGCCCACTTCGTGTCGGCCAGCGTGCTGCGTCCTTCGATTCGGTTCTCCCTCCGACCACCCTCCCTCTACCCGTCCCATCCCTTCCTTCTTCGCTGGCTCTTCTCCCCTTCTTCCTCCCCCTATGCATCGTTATCGCTTGATTTAGTTGTCAGTATTATCGTCATCATCCTTCTTGGCATCCGCGTCACCGTCGCAATCCAGTGTCCCTACCCCACATCGATCACGGCACGTCATTATTAATCTGAAAGTTTCTTTTTCTTGCCCCGCCTCGGTTCCGTCCTTCTGCATGTTCACACCTCCTGTTTCTCTGCACCCTTGCTCCTCGCTTCCTCTCGATTGTATTCCTCACAGTCCTGCACCCTTCCTCCTCGGCCGTCTCGTATTCCTTGCCCCCAATGTCTTTCTCCTTCCCCCCTTCGACCTCCTCATCCACCGAAGAGTGCAGATGGTTGACACAGGATGCGTAGATCGAAGACGCCTACAGCGAATCATCGCCGCCCCCTGCCTTCTAGAGTCGCCCATGTGGCTGAGCGATGGGGCAAGGACTCTGCCAAGCTATCGGGCCATGTCTTCCCCCAACCGTTGTGGAAACCCGTCGGGGAAAATTTGGTGGAGGATGGCGGGGAAGATCAGGAGGCGGAGGAGGAGGCGGAGGAGGAGGCGGAGGAGGAGGAGGAGGAGGAGGAGGAGGAGGAGGAGGAGAAGGGAGCATCTTGGGAGCCTCTCGGAACACCCTTGGGGTCTTCTGGGAGCTTCCTGGGAGCCTCTTGGGCGCATCTTGGGGACCCCCCTTGGGCCTCTTTGGCCGTCTTGGTGGGCTCGTCTGACGCCATCGGAGGCCGAGTTCGGGGCCTCTCTGGGCCGATTCGGGGCCATCTTGGGGTGCTCCAGGGCCGTCTTGGAGGCCATCTTGGGCGTATTGGAGGCCTCTTGGGCCGTCTTGGGGCCCTCTTGAGGTTGTCTTGGTGGGCTCTTGGGCCGTTCTGGGGCAATCTTGGAGGCCTCTTGGGCGATCTTGTGGCGATCTTTAGGGGCCGTTTGGGCCGTCTCGGGCGTCGGAAGGCCGAAAACGAGCAAATACGAACATCCTTCAAACACCATGGAACATCAACTATGTTGGCCTCTTCGGGCCTTCCTCTTGGAGGCATCTTGGGTCGTCTTGGGCCACCTCAGATCCATCTTCGGCCGTCTTGGTGGGCTTCTGGCTCCGTCTGACGCCGTCGGAAGCCGTCTTGGGGGTTCTCATGGTCGACTTGAAGCCCCCTCGGGGTGCTCCAGGGTCCTCTTGGAGGCCATCTTGGGCGTCTTGGAGGCCTCTTGGGCCGTCTTTGGGCCCTCTTGAGGCCGTCTTGGGGACCTCCTGGGCCGTTCTGGGGCAATCTTGGAGGCATCTGGGGCGATCTTGGAGCGATCTGCGGGGGCCTCTTGGGCCGTCTCGGGCCGTCGGAAGGCCGAAAACGAGCAAACATGAAAATCCTTCAAACACCTGAGGAACATACATGGTTTTGGCCTCTTCGGGCCTTCCTGGAGGCTCTCTTGGAGGCCTCTTGGGCCGTATTGGCTTATCTTAGAGCCATCTTGGGCCGTTTTGGTGGGCTTCTGGCCCGTCTGCCGCCGTCGGAAGCCGTCTTGGGTCTCTTTGGGCCAATTTGGGGCCCTCTTGGGGTGCTCCAGGGCCGTCTTGGAGGCTTCCTTTGGCATCTCAGAGGCTTCTTGGGCCGTCTTTGGGCCCTCTTGGGGCCGTCTTGGGGGCCTCTTGAGCAGTCCTGAGGCCATCTTCGAGGCCTCTTGGGCGCTCTGGGGGCGATCTTGGGGGCCTCTTGGGCCGTCTCGAGCCGTCGGAATTCCGAAAAGGAGCAAATACGAAAATCTGTCAAACACCTAAGGGACAAAAATGATTTGGGCCTCGCCGGGCCATCCTAGAGAACCTCTTGGAGCCCTCTTGGGCCTTCTTGGAGCCCTCTTGGGATGCCTTTGGGGCCGTCTTGATGGCTTCTCGGGCACACTTGGAGGCAACTTGAACAATCTTGGAGACCATCTTGGACCATCTTAGGCGGACTTGGAGGCCATTTTGGCCGTCTTGGAGGCATCTTGGGGTCCATTTGGGGCCATCTTGGGCGTGAAAGGCATTGACATGCGCAGCTTGCAGTCCCTTCCGGTTGGCCGGCGGGACGGGCCGGACCCCAGGGGAAGAAGAGCCAACACCCAAACCGAAAGAGTCTAGCACGCAATGCACCCTGTGACAAGCACAGGGGGCGGTGGATCGAAGACGCCTACGGCGAATCACCGCCGCCCCCTGCCTTTTTGGAAACGCCGATGTGGCCGAAAGTTGGACTAGAGCTTGGCCAAGCTATCGGACCATGAGTTCCCCGAGTCGGTTTGGAAAGCTTTCGGGGAACACATGGGAGAGAATGATTATGAACAGGAAGAGGAAGAGGAAGAAATAGAGTAGGAGGATGAGGGTTGTTAGGAGTCTCTTGGGGCACCCTTGGGGTCTGTTGGGGGCTTCTTGGGGGCCTCTTCGAGGCCTCTTGGAGGCATCTTGGGGGCCTCCTTGGGCCTCTTGGGGGCCTTTGGGGGCTTCCTGGGGGTCTCTTTGGCCGTCTTAGGGCGTTCCTGGTCCGTCTGACGCCGTCTGGAGCCGTCTTGGGGGCCTCTCTGGGCCGTCTTGGGGCCCTCTTGGGGCGCTTCAGGGCCGTCTTGGAGGCCATGTTGGGCGTCTTGGAGGCCTCTTGGGCCGTCTTGGGGCGCTCTTGGGGCCGTCTTGGGGGGCCCTTGGGCCGTCATAGGGCCTTCTTGGAGGCCTCTTGGGCGATCTTGGGGGCCTCTTGGGCCGTCGGAAGGCCGAAAAGAAGAAAACGCAAAAAACCTTCAAAAACCTAAGGAAAACCAATGATTTTGGCCTCTTCGGGCTCTCCTGGAGAACGTCTTGGAGGCCTCTTGGGCCATCTTGGAGGCATCTTGGGGCCATCTTGGCCGTCTTGGAGGGCATCTTGGGCCGTCTTGGAGGCATCTTGGAGCCATCTTACCCGTCTTGGAGGCCATCTTGGCCGTCTGGGAGGCATCTTGGAGGCCATCTTGGGCCATCTTGGCCGTCTTGGAGGCCATCTTGGGCCAAGTTGGGGCAACAAAGGCATTGACAGACGGATTTTAGGAAAATTACGGGTGGCCGGCGGGACGGGCCGAAGCCCACTGGGGAGTTCTTTTAGAAAAAGAACCAAAACCAAAACCTGAAACATCCAGCACGCCGTGCACCCCTGCAAGCAGGGGGCGGCGGATCGAAGACGCCTACGGCGAATCACCGCCGCCCCCTGCCTTTTTGGAAACGCCGATGTGGCCGAAAGTTGGACTA